TAATTTTTTAATATTAAAATACCACCAAAAATGAATATAAGATGAAATATACATATATTAGAATTTATTTGAAATAAAAATGAATAAAAAAGATAATAAATTTGAATCAACCGTAGGATTCTTATCTAAAGATCAATGGCTAAGATCATATATATACATAATAAAATTTGCACAAGATATGGTCTAAACCATATATGGTCTAGTGTGTAAATTTGCACTAATTCATATATGGTCTAAACCATATATGGTCTAGTGTGTAAATTTGCACTAATTCATATATTTTTAAAAGTAACAGTTTTGATTCAATCGGTACATAGATGTATATGTATCTTCTTTAAGAAATTCAATTTATTACAATTATTTTTTAAATGTGAAGATATGGTCTAAACCATATATGGTCTAGTGTGTAAACCATAATTTTTTTTATTTACTATTTGGGTAATAAACATTTATATAATATTACATATTTATATATATAGCAAATTATTCGAAATAAAAATAAATAAAATATATTTTTATTATTTGAGTAATTAACATTTTATATAAGATTAAATATACATATATACTAATTTATTTGAAATAAAAAATGAATAAAAAAATAATATATTTAATGTAGAGTAAAATGTAGAGATAAAGGTTGGAGATAAATGTTCAACTCTACTCTAGAGTAGAGTAAAGTCCGCGCTAGAGTAGAGATAAGGGCTGGAGATGGCCTTAGGGTGTGATTGTATATGAATTTGATTGATTTTTAATTAATTTTTTTAATCATAATTAATTATAAAAAATTGTCTAGTTAATGAAAATTTAAAGTTAAATTAAATTATTATTTGACGTTAAATAATTTTTGAATACTTTAATATTGAAAAAGTATGAATATTTAACAGTTGACCTGACTTATAATCTGACAAAAATTCAACTTCTCATTATACTATTAATTAACTGAATAAATGTCCAATAAAAGGGCAATATGTTTTATTCACGCTCTATAAATCAGGCGTGTGTCACCGTATTAATTCACCCGAAATACACACTTCCCAATAAAGTGGTCAACAAAAGACTGAAACAAACAAAAATTACACGCGCGCCCAAATATGGAGCAAAGAGAGGACAACCAGCCAGGAAGCGGCGACCACCGCACAACCGCCGTGGCCAAGACTCCTCCGCCGCCGTCCGGCAGCGGTCCCCGGCCGGACAGCGCCAAGGAATTCGAGCAAGATCAAGAGAATTATGTGCAACAGGTCTTTTTGCACCCTGTTATTTTTTCAACTTATGCATGGATTAAAAATTATGGATTTAATTATTTTTTTAGTTAAATAAAATCGTGATTTATGTGCTAATTTAAATCAACGTGATTAATTAATTTAATTAATTGAACAGAAACCAAGATGGAGAAGCTTCTTTTCTTATGTTGGCCCAGGATTTTTGGTCTCTTTGGCCTATCTTGATCCTGGAAATTGTAAGTTAATTCATGTTTGTGCTAATTCAAAAATTAATAAATAAATAAATAAATTAATGTGTTATTTATCACTATTTTTTTACAATTAATTTTGGTGTATAAAAATTTCAGTGGAGACTGATCTGCAAGCTGGAGCAACCCATGGATACGAAGTAATTAATTTACATTCTTATCCCATTCATTTATTAAATTATTTGTTACATATATTAATGTCAG